AATAATGAACATGGATGTGCATCTTGAAAAATACATCTGTAATAGTAGAGTATCTTCCATCCTACAGTCTAATTAAATAGCTGATGCCCCTTTTTCAGGGCTAATGTATCAACAGAGGAACCACCAGTTCCAGTTGTAACTTCATTCATGTAAATACTTGAATGCAAATCCTGTGTCATCTGTTTTATCATACTTTATATTTAACAGATGTTTGCATTCTCAGGCCCTGAGATTGCTTTCAGTTTCATCAAGGCCATGATGCAGAGAACAATTCATGCTTCCTTTCCTTGAATTATCTTTGCTTCTCCCCATTTGGATATTCCTTATGCAGAAATAATAAAAGAAGGGCAATGAACTTGTTTTCTTGTGTTTGTTTTAAGCAGCTGCTTTAAATGCAGCACATTTTTATGTAGCTGCAATCATGAATAGTTCCTGCATCAGTTAGTGTACTGCTGATAACACTCTAAGAGACATTTACCAACTGCTTAATCACGCAGATAGTCCAAGTCGTTTATTGAGAGCACTTAAGGAGAAAAGACTACTGGATGAAAAATCCCAGGAATGTGGTGTTTAATGTAGTAAGGCAGATCTTGACTTGTCAGTTAGTTAATATATGTAAGAACCAAGCACGCAAGACAGAGACATATTGTGTCAAACTGATTTATGATGTGTGCAGATGTTTAGTACACAGTTCAAAGATCCTGGCAGAATGAATGAAAAAAAATTCCAGGTGTATGGTAAGAACTATTCTTGCATATTAATGCATTGATGTCAATGAAAAAGGTATTGAAAAAATGCTTCACCTTTATTGTTAGATATAAGTGTATGTAAACTGAACGCCCATTTTATTTAAGAATCACTCTGAATTAAGAAAATAAAATGAAAGTGCAGGAAAATAAATAGACCTTTTTGGAAACATTGGGAAGATGTTACAACATTCTGTTGGTCTAAAATCTCTTGTCCTAACTATCTGTGGAGAGCTATTAGTAAATTCAGAAACACAAATCATAATTGAATTGTCAGAGGACATGCAATTTGAACTTATTTGTGGTAGGTGACCAGGGTAAGGCACTGAGTCCTTTGTAAAGGAGATTTTGTGAGGAAATACAGCTTTTAGCGTAGGAGGTGTTAATTTGGTACAGTGTTTTTGCAGTGGGCTAAGAATACGCATGCACACAATTACTGCATACCAACTGTTGCAGGGCAGCTGGCTGACATGCCACAGCTTGATCAGGTGTCAAGAATGGCACAGGGATAACAGAGCTTTTCTGCTGGAGGAGAGAGAGATGTATTAGGTGACTCCTTGGAATTCCTTCTACCCCTTTAACTTTATTTATTGTACCAAAGGTAAATGAAATGCCATCTGAAAATGGTAGAAGCTCAAAGCCTATTTGGTCTAGTCAGTTTAAAGCATGAATTTCTGCATATTTATTTTATTTCTTTTTTGATTAGGACACTTTTAAGTATTCATCATTCAACCATGTTTTTGTAATTTGGTTGAATTATCATCTCTTTTCCTTCCCTTCTCCTACTTGGCAGCATTTGATTTACTCCGTAACTATTCAGCCACCATGCCCATGGATACCAACATGCCTGTCCTAAAAGCTGGAGTTCGGCAGTGATCTGGACAATAATATATGTGACGATGTTTGATGTTAAAAACAGATGATAGATGTTAGAATGGCTAACTCTGTTTTATTTACTGTGGGTCAGTTTACACTGGAAGTTAGTTACCCACAAAGCTAACATGAACTATTGTCATATATTAGTTATAAAAAAGATAAAAAATTAGATAAAATATTTCTATATTAATTTACTCACATGTAAAACTCATGTGAGTAAAACTCACTGCTTGAAGTTTCCCTAATTTTAATAATTTTCTTCATAGTTATTAAACCTGCCAGGAGATGAAATTACATATAATTTTCATTATTACAGTTGAAAGACTGCTAAATTCATGACAGTTTTCATGTCTTCACCAGAAAGCTCTGCAGTGCTCTTCATGGAATCTTGCATTGACAGACAGGTACAGCTATGGTGGGGCTGACTAAATCACAAATACAGCAGTTGCAGCAAAGCAATCTAACAATGTATCTACCTGAGTTGTGAAGAAGTGAATTACTCCTCTACCTTTTAAGAAATCTGCTTTTGGTGACCAGTTTTTGATAACGTCATACACCTTCTTTGTATTTTTGCAAAAAGCCTGACTGCTATGGCAGCATCCCTTCCCGAAGTGAAGTTGTTTTACATTGTATTGATAATGATAGGTGTTAACATTGCAAGCAAAGTGGGATGATGTAGTCCTCTCAGGACTACTCTGCATCTTTTTAACTAGAGAAAGAACTTTCTGCTGTATTAATATAAACCAGCCAAAGTAATGTGAGAAACTGGAATTACTGCACTTTTAAATTATATGATATTTGTTCTTTAGGGAAAAAATCCCAAGCACTATAATCCATGTAGGCTACTGTCTTCTGGTTCATCCTAGAAGATGAACTAGACTACGAGAAAACCTGTCTTTTCAGCAAACAGCTATCAGTGCTTTTATTTTTCTTAAAGTACAAATAGTAGAAGCGGAGTTTTTTTTTTTATTAACTTGGTCTCTAGAGGTTTTGAATGTTCCTAGCCTGATGAAAGACTTAATTACTGTGTGTATATATATGCATGTTTGTCTTTTCTGTTCATTGCGGAACAAAGAATTTCCTTGAAAGTATCTCTTGAGCTATTTTTTTGTATCTTAGCAGAGGCAGTAGATTTGAATAATTCAGTGGCATCAGCATGAGATAACTGCAGTTTGGCTGTGGACACATTTAAATTTCACATTTCATTTCAGTTTAGCATTGAAATTGCAAGGAAAATAACCCACTTTGAATTTTATGTTGAGCTGACAAAAATATTCTAAAAATGGTGAACAATTTTGTGGAGGAAGAAAAAACATTAAAAGCTTTCCTGATTAAGTTCAAAGTATCACTGAAACATTTTAGCATAAAAAAATATTATTGTTGTTCATTGACAATATAATGAATTTTAATATATAATATAATAGATGTTATTATTTCAAGTATGTAAAAACCTACACTGTTGCATTGTGATACTATGTCTGAAGTTGAAAAAACAAACCACTGTAAAAATTACACCTGTGGGCAATTTTTGGATACTTTGTTCCAGGCTACGTCCATGTCAGATTTTAGTGTTGTGTGATGCAGCACTTGTTAATAATGATTTAGCATTACGTCAGTGAAGTATGTCCTTATGTTTTTAGAAATTACTTTCACATCTAAAGATAAAAGGGAAAAAGCAGGAATTGGGTTCTTGTAGAAACAGAGTTGTTAGAGACCAGGGGAGGCTGGTGAGTGATGTAGTTTTGAGGTAAAATTGCAGGATTATGCCTCAGATTGTAATCTGCCGACATCTACCTGCATCTAGTGAAATAGGTACTTTCCTTGCTGAATCATTTCAGCAAGAGAACTTACATTGCAGAAGGACGACTCTAAAGATGAATTAATACATTTTTATCTTTCTGTGAGTTCCTGGTTTTGAGAAGGAAGAAAACATAGTGATCTTTGTGATTTAGAGGAGCTTAAAATTCCATTGTGTTTGCAATTTTTTGTTACAGTAGGAAGAATTCACATCCTCATGAAAAATCTAATTTGTCCAAGACATAAGCCTTGGAGAAACACTGCTGTCTATGCACTCAGTTGATGCTTTACTGGTTTTGATACCCAAATTGTTCAAAAGATTCCTGTTTCACTCAGGTGACCAGATCTCTTCACAAAAATAATTTGCTATGATTTTATGTGAGACTAAAGGTGTTCAGATGGATTTTTACTATAGAGCTATAACTAATTAATACTGGTTTGGTGGGGGGTGGAGAGGGGCATAATAGAAAAGTAGAAAATAGAAACTCTCTGTTTTCTGTAGTACATGTATGTACTATGTAAGTACTGTTTTCTGTAGTACATGTATGCGAATTTATACATATATGAATGTTTGAAAAGAGTGTGAACATGTGCAGATGTGTGCATTTCTGTATAGAGAGGTGTTTGCATACGTATATAGGAGTGTAGGTAGATAGAAGTACATAGACACAGTTGCAGTGGCAGAGTGCCATGCAGTTCTGAAAGTATGTGGTAACAAACTGTACCTATGTTTATTTTGAGCTCTCTCACTTCTAGAGCATTCTGTATTGCAACTTGAAATGATTGAAAAGGGAGTCGTAGTTTAAACTAGGTGAAATTAAAAGAAAATAAACCCAAACAAATCCAAACAGTGTAGATGTTTTGCCTTCTGGTACTTCAGCTTAAATATGATTGTGTTCTAAAGGTGGTCCATGCAATCTCAATGTCTGGGAATGTATAAATAAAATTAGAACATCTTACTGAATTGGATACATACTATTGTGTTTGTTATGGTAAACATGGGATCTGACAACAGTAAAGACTCAAGATCACTAAGAAATAATGTATTCCAGTAACATTGAACAAAACCTTGAGAGTCTTAATATTGAAAAAAGTATGGAAGATGACTCATACCAATATGTGGGAAGAAACATATTTTACAAGTGTGTGAAATCTGATTGTTTCCTCATAATCAGTCTGAAGACAGAAGACAGTAACTATTCATCTCTTCTGACTTTAATCCCATGACAGAAATAATTCCCGTCTTTCTCTGTTCTTCCCAATTTTTTAATTCCTCTGGGGAGAAATAGAGTAAGACAATACAACTTTTAAAATATGGACGTGTTTATATAAATCATTGTAGTAATTTTTTCAGGAAATAATTTGTTTGTTCAACAAGCTAATAGGTTTTACATTGCAGCTTACTGCTTTGCAGCTGTCCACCAGCTGTGCTAGCTTTCTTTAACTTCTTGAGTGTTATGTTTTCTTCTTTTTTTTTTTTACTGGATGTATTCTGAAGAAGGTACATTTTTCCTGCCATGTATGCACCAATCAAATGCAGTTATCAGTATACTATATCTTAATTTTTTTCCTTTTTAACAGAAGGAAGGAGAAAAAAATCACAAAGTCCGACTAGCAGTTGGAAATGGAGTAAGAAATGATGTATGGAGGGAATTTTTGGATAGATTTGGTCCTGTTAAGATCTGTGAGTTCTATGGTGCTACTGAAGGAAACATTTGTTTCATGAACCACACAGGAAAAATTGGATCTGTTGGGCGCACCAATTTCTTCTATAAGGTGAGTATTTATTTACATTCTACTTTGTAGGAGTGATGAAAAATTGTGTTTCTTAGTTGTAGTGCAGTCCTAAGTCCAAGACAAATTTTCTAGCTTGGTTTTTGCAAGTTAGTTGATCCTCTGTAAAATCTTGGCACCCAACACAACTGTACACTCAGCAGAAACACTGAGATTTTTTATAGAGTTCACAAGAGTCAAAAAGGCTTTGGCTCTCTTCTGAAAGCTTTGAGTAATCTGACAGTTGCCAAGTATAGTTTCAGGTCTCTACTACATTAGAGGACAAAAGAAAAAGTTTGATTTATTTTAATACCTAAGAATTCCTCACTGCTGAAATAAGACTACAAATTTCCTATTCTGATTTACTGTTCTACAAATTATAGTTAGAGATGTGTTTATATAGTATGTTAATATTGCATTCTGCTGTGTAAATATTTGGCATAAATGGGAATTAATAATAATTAATATATTGTAATAATTACATACAGTAGCATATAGACAGATACAAATTTAATAGATATTTTATACCTAGAGGCAAACTACATCTAGCCAGTATCAGTATTTAGAAATGTTAAAGATAACACAATACATATATAATCACTGTTGAGGTATTGTGACAGAGAATACTAGGCAAGATTATTAATTTTAAAATGCTATACCCCTTTATCTACAGTCTAGAGTAGGTGTTTGCTGTGTTCTAGGCTACTGAAACTAGAAAAAAACCCCCATTCTGTATTTCATCAGCTTTGAAAATGGCAGTCATATATTTTGGGGAGGAAGACTACATGTTATTTATATCACACATTATGATTCCTCCATCCTTCTGAGTAAATTAAGAATTTATTTATGCTTGAAATTCACAAGTGGACTTTTTCTTTTTGATTCTGGAAGGACAGTATTTTAAAAACAATTTGAAAGTCCCAAACAAAGTAACATGTGTCCCAACCTTTAGCTAATAATATGAAAGATGTCTAGCCTTTTTGAAAGGAGACTGCATACTTACCATTGTGTTGCTTTTTATGCCAGTTTTTACTCTTCTTGAAATAAATAGTACCTCATGCATTGCCTGGAATTTTAAATTGAGTGATACCTATCTATATACAAGTCCTGTTGACTTAAATGACATTTGTGGTCCTTAGGAGAACTGATAGCAAAATGTCCCGACAAAACTTCTTAAAGGAATAATGTAAAACCATTGTTTGGAAATACAACAGAGGTATCCTCTGATGCCATGTAAATAGGTTTCTAGGCAGCATATGTTCCAGGGTCCTCAGCTTCAGTACTCCATCACCACAGTACAGTCATTCCACAGACTGCTTTACACACTGGGGCCAGAGGAATTCTTCATTTCTTGTACAGAAACTCAGACTACAGTGAGGATTCTGGAACCACTCAGAAAACACCACAAGAGCTAGTGTGTTGCTCAGAAACCACAGAGAGCTCAGGAATTTAAGCAGCTGATGCCATTGATTCTCTGTCCTACATGTCTGATGCTCCATTCAGTGACCATCCAATGCTGTTGGATATTTCCAGAAGGGTCCAGAACTGCTGCCAGAAATCAGAGATCTGGAATTTAGGGAGTAGTAAGTGAACCAGGAGCCTTACAGCTGATGTTAATTTTTGTTTCAGACTCTTCTAAGCCTGATGCCTTATAATATTACAAGATTTTGCATGTGTTCCAAACTTGAGTAAACTTGTTTTCAGTATACAGAACTTTGGGCAGATTTTTGTCATAAGTCATTAACCTTTTGGAAATACCTTGTGAAGTCTACAGCAGATAAAGGTTAAAATTGAAACTACCTGCATATTTATTTAATAATTTGTATTTTTAATTAAATAATGTGGTGATTTTGCAAGTGACACTAAATACATATTTTAATAACATACATAAGTTCATTTTTGCTTGTTTCAGACATTTGCTCTGGAAGGTTTTTTAATACATTTTGCAGCTTGCAGGTTACTAAACAATGCCTTCTGAAGCGTAGCTGTTGTTTGTTTTACTTCAGTCTAAATGACATCCACTAGACAGCTAGTGATATGTAAAGGAGAGCAGCATAATTTCTGATTTGTTGACTTGTGAAAAACCTTTGCTGAGGTTGGAAAGAAAATCTGTCTCCTGCTGTAAAGCAGACAATGGCACAGACAAGGCCCAGCCACCCAATCACTAACATTTGTTGTTTCTTCAAATAAATGCTACAACATCTTTTGGAACATTCTCTTGACATGCAGGACAACATGAGATAATCTTTAACATGCTTTCTAGGGATTTCCTGAACACCTATTTCTAGAATAGAAAGAAACAGAACTGAGAAAGTGGGAAAAATAGATTTGTGTGTTCATAGATGTGATATATTGAAAGAGAAGGAAGAAACTTGCTCCCTTCCAACAGCATAATTGCACAGCTTGCAACAAAGTAAATGCAGTACAAAGCCGTATGGATACAAGTGTTGGGAGTATAGAGGGAATAATAGCAGAAAGTTTCAAAGTATAACATTTTTAGCGGGGGGAGGTGGGGGGAAAGGAAAAAAGATAGGAGCGCATTCTGTTGTAGTGACAATGGCACAGTTTGTAAAGGTGCAATACAAAAATTACAGCTTTAAGTGGCAACCTGAGTTCTGAGTGAGCAAAGTAACTTTTCTACCAGTAACTGCTAAGGACTGGGGATAGATGCTTGTGATAAATATTAAGGTTCTACAGAACACATTTATTTTTATAAAAATATTAGAAGACATAAGGTAATAGAAAGAAACAGATGAATGTTACAGCAGTTGGCAGAAGTCACTGTATTTAAGATGTTAACTAAAAGTAGTGCTCTTGTTTGCACTTCTTTCTTTTCACACTGTGTTCTTTATATAAGAGGGATTGGTTCATGTGCTTGAAAGCCTCCCTGTAGAATATGAATAAATCTTTCAATAAAGATGTTTACATAGAGTCAATGAACAGAAAAGTAGAAGCCTCTGAATAGCTTTTCAGCTGGTGAAACTTAAAATGTTTTACAAAAAATACAATGTCTTGATTAACACAGTAATATAATAAATTACTGTTTAATCTTTACATCTGACATACATATGTGTCTAGGTAATGTTAATAATCAATTATGTTATATATGAAATACATTATGTGTGTATTTATATAGATGTGATATGGGAAAAATCTTGAAGACCCTCAATTGTGTCTATCAATATATAAATCTCTTTCTTATACTGAAATAAATTCTGAGTGATGACAGACAACAAGGGAGCTTGGGATTAATGAGATCCAAGGAAGCTTATAAGAAGGGCTAAAAATAACCCAGGCCACGCTCACCTGAAAAACATTATGTAAACAAACAAAAACAACCAAACTACCAAAACTCCACCCAAACTTTATTTGTAAATGTAATTTCTCATTATTTTAAGCAAAGATACTCAAAATATCACACGAATCCAAATCTCTTACACAAAACCGTAAAGATAAAAATCAGCTTTGAGCTGAGGAACATTTATATCTTATAACAAATCTTAAATAATTTCAGCATATAAAATGGCTTTCACACAGCCATTCAGAATTAGTATTATGCACTTCTTCATGCAGTCACAGAACTTGTGGCAGAGGACAAATTATTTTGTTTAAAAATAAACAAAGTTAGTTTTAAGCAAATTTTAAAATCCTGGAAAATTATTCAAAGGAAGAATACTGATGTGTAAATCCAAGAAATGGATGCTCCTAAGTTCATTGGCCAATGAAAATTAATGTTGTTTCTTCTCCTTTTACTAATTTTGAGCAAAAATAATCTAAAGTACTACAAGTGTTTTCTAAAGTATTATATTCTTACATGTTATGATTCAGTTAATATCAAACATAGCTTAAAATATTTGTTTCTTGGTCTTGTTTACTTTGGCTCACAAAGTTGTGTGGAGTACCTATGCATCTGCTCTTTACAATGTAAATAAGGCATTTCAAGTATATTTTTAAAACTGTCTCTAAGATGTGATGACACTATGTTCTAACTTTTTTTTTCTTACATTTCAGTTCTTAAAGATGCTTGAAACTAAATCTAGTACATGTAATGCTTTGTTTTCGAAACTGATATTCTCCAAGAGAATGCAAAAATACTTCACCTTTAAAACCAGTAATAAAAAGCTTGTGATCTTTATTTTCTGGTAAAGGTTCTCTGAGCATTCTCTGCAAGTTGAAATACTAGGAATGTCAAAACTACTTTCAAAACAATGTTTAAATTCACATATTTCCAATCAATTAAAAAATAAAACAGATGAGGGAAGATGGTATTAGATAACATCTGGGCAGCATAGTAGTAGTCAATGTTGCACATTAATGCGCTTTCAGTTTCAGCTTGCTAAATGATGCTTTTTGTTTGCTACATTATCTTGTGCTTCAGAGAGTAAGATGTAGATTAAAATGATGAATGTTGCATGCAGTACTCTGAGAAAATAATATGGTAATGCTTCAACAGCTCAGGTCCTTGTCCCATTAGAATTTAAATAATGAGGCGAACCAAATGTTAGCCTGTGCCCAGACTAAATGCTTTGCTGTGGGGCTTTCATTTTCTAGTATTTAATATGAAAAGCAAGCTGCTTAGAATCACAGAATGATTTAGCTTGGAAAAGACTTTTGTGCAGGCACAGCTGTTTGCACAGACTATGCGTAGTTTCATTATGCATATTTAATACAAGATGTGGTTCTTTCTTTTAATTATGTGTTTTCATAATGATTATTTCAGAAACCTAATTGGAATACACCTTGTTAATATTCTGAAGTTGTAGGCAAAAGAAGTGTATACAACATAGTAATGTATAATAATAATCTCTCAGATACTGAATTACAGTTTCTGAGTGTTTTTAACAACTTGAAATAGTTCTTCATTCTTTCAGAGCTCAAAAACTGTATCTTGTCAAAATACTACTCTGTATGATGCATTATTTGTATGATGCATTATTTTAAGCTATTCTAATCAGACACAAACCCAGTAACATTTAATTTTATACCATTTCATTCTTATATTATTCCTTGCATTTGGTCATATTAAACCTATTGAAGTAATAAATATCAATGCAAAAAGAAAGAAAATGAAGAAGAGTAGCATTTAAGGCAGGCAAAAAAAATGAGGCCCTCTTCCACTCTGTTCCTCAAGAAAAATCAATTATTTTCTAATTGAGGCAAACTTTCTGGCCCTCAGATTCTTGACTTTGTTAAATTATTTAATCTGAAGTTAATAAAAATTAAAAAACCCTTCACTTAATTAAAATAGTGTTCCATTCTTGAATCATTACTTTATTTTGCAGGCTATGACCTTTTTCCTTTGATCAACTGTTAAAAATATCTTTTTGTTTCAGACTTAGGGTAGAAGAAAAACACAGTGCTGAACATTGAAAGGACTCAACGAACCTGTTTTGTCCATATGAGGCTGAAATTGTGGGATTCATGTTGCTCTTTATTAAGATTTCCTTGAGAAAAAATTATTTATTTACAACATTATTTCAAATTAGGATAAAGATGCAACTCTTTGTCCGAGTTAGTGGCAGAAAATGAAAGAGGTTTATGTTTTAACATCCTACCCTTTACTTCAGTCACTTCCATATTATTCTCCTTAAGTTATATTGCATTTCTTTATTGTGAGGAGTGCAGGTTTATATTAACGTTTTATAAAATTGTTCCCTTATTGCCAAGAATTCTCAGGAGAAGATAATTACCTTGGTTTCACCAGTTGTTAAAGATTGCCGATACATTTCCTTTTGGGAAGGCAACATGGAATCCCAAGCAGGGCAAATTGCTCTTTAGAATAATAAAGAGACAATTTGGACCACTGCAAACACAGTATCGCGGAATAGTATTAGGAAGTGTCTCTTAAAGGTCCAGTTTGTATTCCTATCACAGCAGAAAAATAAAGCAAAGTAATAGTCACATGCTGTATATTCAAGGAAAAAAAAAAAAAAGAAAGAAGAAGAAGGGGAAAAAAAGTGTTGCACTTGCTAGTTTTGATAGTAGTATCTTGTCCTTCAGTTTGCTTGGAGCCATGGCAGGATGTACCCTTCTGCTGGTGCTCAGTTCCCATCACCATACAGCAGCCTGAGAAGGCAAGAGGGAAGAGCTGAGGCTAGTTAAGCAACAGTAAAGCCCAACAGGAAGCAGATTTTCCTTTGTGAGGCCTTTCCCTTGCCAGCTGTTTTCAGTGCCAGAAGACCCCAAGAACACATCATATCAGCCACCACCATTAAATGTCACTTAAATACTAGAGATAACGTTTCTATGCTGACTCACATTGTTCTTTCACTGATGATGTAGATCCCATAACTTACTTGTAAGAAAATTAACAAATGGACAGTTCTGTGTCTTCATTTACAAAACTTTTGATGCTGCTTACCCTCAGGAAATGGCATAAATTTACATGCAGAGTATTTTCAGTTTTAAATGAAACTGCATTCTCCTTTCAGATGAGCAAGACTGGAGTACAGGTTTCCTTATGTGTATTTGCTGCCACCAGATGTCACTGTGTAGATGAGTAACTGATGACTTCTTCCCTTTTTTAGCTTTTTTTCCCATTTGATTTAATCAAGTATGATTTCCAAAAAGATGAACCAATTAGAAATAAGCATGGTTGGTGTGAAAAAGTTAAGAAAGGTAAGTATATATTTTAATAGGATATTACAGCCTATTGTTTTTATAAAAATATTTCAGAGAGCTGTTTTAAGAAGCCTTGCTATTGTGTTACTGCAGTTTACCAAATCAACTGTTACTCTTTGCTCTGAAAAAAAGCAATATGATTTTTGATCTCAGATAAAACAGCATTAAACATACCAGTACTGATATCAGAAGCACTCAGGAGATCCTTGGATGTATTCACAGAAGAGTAGTGTTCAAAAGTGATGCTATGGCATTATCTTTGAATTTTTACATAGCGACATCTGTGTTTTTTAAAGGAGGTTAACATAAGGAAATGGTTGCCTAAGAGATCTACAGGAAGATTAGAGCAAATGCTTTTTGATGAGAGATTAAGTGTTTCTGACTAGGTGATGTGATTTGGCGTAATAATTAAAAAAAAAAAAAAACCCAAAAAATGAAAAAAACCCAAAACTGCTTGATTATAGCTGTCCTAAAACTATTTACCAAAAATCGTGATTACACAATTTCTCAAAGCATTACCCACATACTGGAACATGTATTGAACTGTAGGAAGATAACAGCTGAAACTGGAGGAAGAAAAACTCATATTAAAGGTCAGGCAGACAGCTTTAATGGGGAGCTGAAATAGAATTTTCAAAGGAGATATGATATTCTCTAACAGTTGGTAATAAAACATGGGCACTTTGAAAATGATATGTCACCAAAAGCTGAAATTTTATAGGAATTTATCTCTATGGATGCCAGACTGACCTGTGAGGGGAACACATGCTTTAATTAGACATGTGGTCTAATTTTTTTCCAACTACACCACTCAGTATAATGAAAAGTATTATCTCTGTCTATAATCTTTGTCTTACCCACGTCTTATTTCTTCAGAGCATTATGGCTGCAATGATACTACCAGTGAACTAAATACTTCTACTTTAAACACTGCCAGTTTATGGGAAAAAAAGGCACAGCTTTTTTTAAGGAGGCAGTCTTAAATTAAAAATTGTGCCTACTTTTGGAAGCATTTTGATATATTTTCATATTTATAATTCTTGTCTCTGTTACAAAGTAATGGAACTCAAGCTATATTGTTCAGAACCTGCTCCCAAAAAGATTATTTCATACAATTATTCCATACTCTGCAAACTAACACCCTGGTACTCTACAAGCATAAGAGGATAATCCTTTCCCCTACTCTCCCTAATTTTTGAGGAAAAAAATTTTGTTAAACTCTTGTATTTTACACCAAAAAGTAAACTGATGATGCTATATCACTTTAATGAATATGCTTAAGAAGTCACAGAATCACAGAATATTCTGAGTTGGAAGGGACACACAAGGATCAAATCAAACTCTTTAAGTGAATGGTCCCACATGGATTAAACCCACAAGCTCGGTGTTATTAACACCAGGCTCCAAACAAGTGAGGTAATTTCAGTGTTCTCAGAACTCAAAAGAGATTAAATAGGAACACAGTGCCTGGGCCGAGCACCTACTTCTGATTAACACTAGTTTTTCATTAGGAAGCTGATAAAGCTGACAGTCATCATGGAAATTCAGTAACGTGTGGGGAGTCAATTCAATATGAACTTGAATGGTGCACTTTCAGAGGATTATAAACTACTAGGGAGTTACAATAGATAGATGACCCTTCTGGGAGAAAACTGGTGAGCCACCAGGAAGGAATACAAATGACTGTGAATTTGCGTGGACAATACTGTAAGTAATATTAATGTCAGGTACAGAAACGTCCAATGATATTTTGGGTTTATATTCTTTCAACTTCTCTGTATAGGTGAGGCTGGTCTTCTGATCTCCAAAGTCAATGCGAAGAACCCCTTCTTTGGTTATGCTGGCAATAAAAGACACACAGAAAAGAAATTACTCTGTGAGGTATTTAAGAAGGGAGATCTTTATTTTAATACTGGAGATCTAATGGTTCAAGACCATGACAATTTTCTGTATTTTTGGGACAGGATTGGAGATACCTTCAGGTACAGTTACTGTTTCTTTTCAGATTTCTTAATTAAAAATACATAGAATGGAATAATGTGGTTGGATTTGTTTTTAACTGGAACTGTTCAATTTATTGCTATTGTGATGTAGTTTATAATGACTCTGAAGTGGATGATGAAGGCTTAATTTTGTCACAGGTGTTCTGTGAGTAATATTCCTGTGGAATTGAATGATTCATTTTCAGAACAGTTTGCAGGAATTCCAGCTCTTTGATCATGCTTTTCAATAAGCATATAACTAGTGATGGATTTGCTGTGAGCAAGGAAGTTGGATGCTGATGTGGACAAAAATGTATCAAGTAACAGAGATTGGCCACTTTTGATATATTTATTTAAGTGTAAAAAAACTTGGAAACAATTGTATTCAGTGGCCCTTACAGTGTTGTGATGCCCAGTAAGGGCAATGAGTTGCAACATTGTCTTCCAGTGATCAAATTCTAATTGACAAGTGTGAAAAAATGTGAGGTAGTGTCAGTCTGAAATGAATGGAGCTTCTACTAAAGGTTTTTAAAAGGACAATTGTCATAGGATTAAATTATTTTTTCACACATTTTAGATGGAAAGGGGAAAACGTTGCCACTACAGAAGTTTCTGATGTCATTGCAATGTTGGACTTCATACAAGAAGCAAATGTGTATGGTGTGTCTGTGCCAGGTAAAAGTTTGAATTATACATTTTGCTTCTCCCAGGTTCATTGTTAACCCTCATAACTCTTTCTATTTCGTGTTTTAAACTTATGAATCATATTTGATTGAGTCATCTCTTTAATATCCAGCTAAAATGTAGATGCAGGTAATGAAAATACCACCTGATTATGAATGAGCCAGTGAATTATGCATTACTTATCTGTATGCAGTGAGGAGTATTTTTGAAAATCTACCATGCATACATTTGTGATAGCTACATAATCTAAATTAGAATATAAAGATTCAGTAAATTCACATCTGCGTAAAATCCAGACATATGTGTCAAAATAAAATGTAAAAAAGGTAATTCTAATGTAACTCTAAAGGAAAATATATGGAGACATTTTGCTGTCTTATTTCACTTTGCCTTATAAAATAACGGTAAACAGTTAAGTTATAAAACCAATAAGAAAATGAAAAAGAATATAAAGAGAAAAATAAATGTGTAAGGAAGAAAATATACTAATTTCTTTTAATAGGGTTTTTTGTTATTTTTCATGAGATTGGATGGGCTTGATTGTCATTCATGCCAAATATTTTTTTAAAATACATGTTTGGGTTTACTGGGATAAAAAGAAGTTTCTATATAGGAGACTCTTTGGTGCTCTGCTTTGCACCAAACTAAAACAATGGCTAAAACAGTGTTGATAACTTAACATGCTTGGCTACCACTGACCAGAGCTTGCACAGTACAATGCTTTCTCCGTGCATGAGAATTCTGGGGACAGCAAGAACTTGGGAGCAGATGGAGATGATACAGTGGCCCAAAGCTGACCTAAGCAATATTCTGCATCATATGATACAGAATAACTTTGCCATGCTTAGTTATTAAAGCTGGAGGAAAAGAAGTGGATGAGAGGTTTGTGGGTGTGGTGCTTGTCTCCCTGAAAAAGCGCTGCATGCTCCAAGTGAGGCCCTGCTCTGCAGGAAGTAGCTGGACATCTCTGATGGCAGGGAATATTGAATGATGTTCTGGTTGTGCTTTGCTTGTGCATATATCTTTTTGTTTCCCTATGAAACTGCAATTACCTCAACTATTGAGGCTTGCTTTCCTTCACTTCCCGCGCCATGGCAGAAGGGATTGAGCACAAAGCTGGCTGGATGTTTGGTTGCTGGCAAGGATAAACCCACCACAAAATGATAAAGGAGTTTAAAATGAGAGAAAGTGTCACTTTCTCTCATGTGAAGCATGAACACTCACTTGAACAGTATTTTAAAGCCATAGAACATGAAACATCATAGAAGACTGTCTAAAAATCAGATTCAAAAGTATGAGACATGCTAATTTCCTGTACAATACTTACCTGTTTACCTACTCAGTTTATCTGACTGTCTTGGTAATTACACTTAAGTTTAAAAAAAATCAAATTCCTTAAAGATTTTATAGCATAGCAAAAAATTAAACCAAAACAACAATAAGGTTGGCAGAACATCTCTGCTGTTACTACTAGCCTAAAGTGTTTAGTTACCTACTAGGCTGAAGTGTTTAGTTAATTTTGATAGCTGAAGTTCATTGCTTTTACTTTTTACCCATTTTGTTCTTTACCAAAGACTCACAGTGTTCTCATTTTCCAGACTAAAGAGTAAGAACTTTTAAGTGCTCTCTCTGTTAATTTAGATCCACAGTTTTGAGAAACATACTGGCTAGAGAAAGAGACTAAAACAGAAATGAAGATATAATTGGCTACTCCAGGAAAGACACTCTTCACTCTTGTTTTCGAGAGAGGAATGTTGTTGATGTTTATCCACATTTATCGATTATATCAAGCACAGGACTCCATTTAGTCTTACCCGCCACACTAATTTACAGCATTATTGCTTAATTGAACACTTGAGTGATCTCCAAGTACATGGAATACCAGATAAAATATGAATGAGATCTTGCAGCTTTACTGAAACTCAGAATGTGATATATGACTGTTGGTTTGTTAATGCACTATGGGGTTTTTTGTGCAGTTTATCATTACAATGTCAACTTTATTCATGTTACAAAATTGTCATCTAACTTCCTTTTGTGCAGATCATGAAGGAAAAGCAGGAATGGCTTCTCTTATTTTAAAGCAAAATGCATCATTAGACTTGGAGCAAATGTATAAGCAAGTAGTGACCTATCTACCAAGTTATGCTTGTCCCCTCTTCTTAAGAGTCCAGGTAAGCTGCATTATTGCACTGTGTATACAGACATCTACATAATTTAAACACAGAGATAGCTAAGTGAATAACAAAAAGTGCTTGTTCATGTATCACTAGATTAGTTTTAGATGGGGTCCTATTTGCTGTCTTCATTAATGGGATACTGGAAAGGGATTACACAAAAAGTCAATGAATTTGCAGATTATGTTTGAATGAGAGAAACTGTACAAATGAGCAAGGAAAGAGATCATACAAAAGGATTTGGGGAGATTAGAAGCATAATCATGGTAAAAGAAAAAGATTCAGATTTAAAAACATGAACAATTGCATCTGGAGAAAAGAATCTAAAATCCATTTTATTCAGTGAAAATGAGAGAGAAATAGAGCTAAAACAGAAGACAGTGGGCTGAACACAATAAAATGAATGTTATTTTCTGTGTAACAATGATTCTTTGTAACAAATATTAAAGCATTTGAAAAGATACAAGGTAAATTGAAAAGGTGAATGAAAAAATATCTTATTATTGCCACCACAGTAATCATCAGAATCATCCTTATTTGTGCACTACTTTGTTCTAGCAACTGTCCAGTTTGGGGTAAAAGAGTCCCTCCCGCAGAGTGTAAAAATGTAAATATCATAGAGCTAGGAAAAAATATGAGAGTATCAAAAGCACACAATATTGATAATCATGATACATGAAGTCTGATGAGCACTTTCATTTCTCTTAAGTGTTTTGCAAACTTCATGATAAAGACAAACAGAAAAAGGTTTCTGAAGGTGTTTATGGGGGAGTCCCCTACATTTGAGGAGCAGATGAAAAAAATAGTCATTGTTTAAAGAGAAAAGTTATGGAAGTTGGTTTCTTAGATCACCCAGAGATTGAATATTGGTTCAGAATAAAGAGGGAAAACAAAAAACCTGTGAAAGACCTTGCAAGTGAAATATGTGTGTATGTATCTATCTATCGCATAAGTCCAGGAAGATATCTTGCAGCATCATTCTGATGTGAGAAAGCAAGATTAGACTTGAGAATGTTGCAGTAGTAAGTTTATGAATTATGAGAACCTAGTCTAGATTCACTCCTGTATAGTTGTACAGAAAAACCTTCACACTGGATGGAAGGAATCTGAATCTTGGGTATTGCATTGATATCAAGTATCTGGAATTTGAATTTAAATTAAGATTTAAATGCCTCCATTACAGATGCATTGCTGTTGGTACAGCTGTCATTAACCAAGAAAGAAAGAAGGTAGAGGGAAAAAAAATAAAAACATATTAAGCTATAGAATAGGTGTGAGGCCCTTCATCTAGAGAGCCAGCCAGATGATTTAGAAGAAAATTGTCTGCCCAGTGAGCCTCCCAATTATGACTCATCTGTAAGACAGATCACCACCTCTAACATCAAGAAGAAAAGAAGGGTAGTCATAGTGGGTGATTCCCTTTTGAGGGGAACAGAGGGCCCCATGTGTTGATCGGATCCATCCCACAAGGAGGTCTGCTGCCTCCCTGGGGCCCAGGTATGAAATATCACTGAGATTATATTCCTGGGCTGATTCAGCCCCTTGGTTATTACCCACAGCTGATACTCCAGGCTGGCAGTGATGAGATTGAAAAGAGGAGTGTCAAGGCGATTAAAAGGGACTTTAGGGCACTGGGTCAAGTGGTTGATAGGACAGGGGCACAGGTAGTGTTCTAGTGTTCTGCTCAGTGTTCTGCTCTTCCTTTGGTGTGAGAGAAAAATAATGAAAGAAATAAGAGAAATCACATCATTAACAAGTGGCTCAAGGGTTGGTGTCATTGGCAAAATTTAGGATTCTTTGATCTTGGGGCAATTTTTACAGCACCTGCTTTACTGGAACCAGATGGGAATAATCTCTCTGTTAAGGACAGAGGGTTTTTAGCTCATGAACTGGCAGACCTTGCTGAGAGGGCTTTATACTAGGTCTGAAGGGGGAAGGTGATGCATCTGGGCTGTCTAGAAGCAGGTCCCAGGGTGGTAAGACTGTGTTAGGAGAGAAATCAGCAGCCCAGCTGAGGTGCATGTATACCAATGCGTGCAGCATGGGCAACAAACAGGAAGAGCTGGAGGCCATGGTGCAACAGCAGAGCTATGATGTAGTTGCCATCACAGAAATGTGGTGGGATACTCACATACCTGAAGCACTGCACTGAATGGATACAAGCTCTTCAGGAGGGGCAGGAAAGGGAGAACAGGTGGAGGGGTGGCCCTTTATATTAGGGAGGCTTTTGACGCTATAGGTATTGAAACTAAGGAAGATGGAGTTGAATGCCTATGGGTAAGAATTAAGGGGAAGGCCAACAAGGCTGATATCCTACTGGGAGTCTGTTATCATCCACCCAACCAGGAAGAAGAGGTGGAGAACTTTTTCTATTAGCAGCTAGCTAATGTTTCAAGATCATCAGCCCTTGTTCTTGTGGGTGACTTCAACCTACCAGACATCTGCCGGAAGCTTCATACAGCAGTAAAGAGGCAGTCCAGGAAATTTTTGGAGTGTATGGAGGACAACTTCTTGTCTCAGCTGGTTGGTGGGCCCATCAGGGGAGGGAATATGTTAGACCTGCTGTTTGCAAATAGAGATGGGCTGGTGGGAGATGTAGTGGTTGGAGACCACTTGGGGCAGAGTGATCATGAAATTAGAGAGTTCTAGATATTTGGTGAAATGAGGAGGAACACCAATAAGACTCTTATATTGGACTTCCAGAGGGCAGACTTTGGCCTACTTAGGAGACTTATTCAGAGAATTCCTTGGGAAGCAGCCCTTAAAAACAAAGGAGTTCAGGAAAGGTGGGTGTGCTTCAGAGATCCTGAGGGCACAGGAACAGACTGTCCCTGTGTGCTGAAAGGTAAGTTGACGAGGTAAATGTCCAGCTTGGATGAGTAAGGAGGTTTGAAAGGAATAAAAGGAGGATCTTTGGAAGGAAGGTCAGGTGTCTCAGGAAGTATTTTAGGAGGTTGCTAGAGCATGTAGGAAAAAAATTAGGAAGACCAAAGCTCAGTTTGAACTTAAAATGGCGACTTCTGTAATGGATAATAAAAAGTGTTTCTACAAACATATTAGTGGTAAAAGGAAGGATAAGAGCAACCTTTGTTCTTTACTGGATGAGGGAGGAAACTCAGTAACTGCAGGTGAGGAGAAGGTGGAAGTGCTTAACACCCTCTTTGCCTCGGTCTTTAGTGGGAAGATGGCTTGTCCTCAGGACAACTGTCCTCCTGGGTTGGCAGATGGTGTCAGGGAGCAGAATGGTCACCGTTATCCAGGAGGAGGCAGTGAGAGAATTTCTGAAATGCTTGGATATTCATAAATCTATGGGCCCAAATCGGCCATCCCAGGGTGAGGAGGGAGTTGGCAGATGAGCTTGTGAAGCCTCTCTCCATCATTTACCATCAGTCCTGGCTCACTGGGGAGGTTCCAGATGGCTGGAAGCTGGCCAGTGTGACACCCAATCACAAAAAAGGGTGGGAAGGAGGATCCTGATAACTATAGACCAGTCAGCCTGACCTCAATATCCAGCAAGGTAATGGAACAGTTTATACTGAGTGTCATCACACAGCCCTTACAGGATGGCCAGGATATCAGACCCAGCCAACATGGAGGGGGTAGGTCATGTTTGACCAACCTGGTCTCCTTTTATGACCAGGTGACTTGCCTGATAGATTCAGGAAAGGCTGTGGATGTTGTACCTGGACTTCAGCAAGGCTTTTGACACTGTCTCCCAGAGCACACTCCTGGGAAAGCTGGCAGCCCACAGCTTGGACAGGAGCACTCCTTGCTGGGTTAGGAAATGGCTGGATGGCCAGGCCCAGAGAGTTCTGGTGAATGGTGCTGCATCCAGCTGGGGCCAGTCACCAGGGGTGTCCCTCAGGGGTCTGTGCTGGGGCCAGTTCTGTTCAATACTTTTATTGATAAAATGGATGAGGGTGTTTAGTCTTTCATGGTAAATTTGCAGATGACACTAAGCTGGGAGTGTGTGTGGATTTGTTGGAAGGTAGGAGGGCTCTGCAGAGAGAGATGTTGGATTGGATGGGCAGAGTCCAATAAGATGAAGTTCAATAACTCCAAGTCCTGCATTTTGGCCACAATAACCCCCTGCAGCGTTATAGGCTGGGGATGGTGTGGCTGGACAGTGCCCAGACAGAAAGAGACCCGGGGGTGCTGGTCCACAGCCAGCTGAACATGAGCCAGCAGTGTGCCCTGAGGGCCAAGAAGGCCAAGGGCATCCTGGCCTGTGTCAGGAATAGTGTGGCCAGCAGGAGCAGGGAGGTCATTCTTCCCCTGTACTCGGCACTGGTGAGGGCACACCTTGAGTGCTGTGTCCAGCTCTGGGCCCTCAGTTTGGGAAGGACCTTGAGACAGTTGAGTGCATCCAGAGGAGGCAACGAGGCTGGTGAGGGGCTTGGAACACAAGGCCTGTGAGGAATGGCTGAGGGAGCTGGGGTTGTTTAGCCTGGAGAAAAGGAGACTCGGGGGTGACCTTATCACTCTCTACAACTCCCTGAAAGGTGGCTGTAGTCAGGTGGGGTTGGTCTCTTTCTCCAGGCAGCAACTGACAGAATCAGAGGACACAGTCTCAAGCTACACCAAGGAAAATATATGCTGGATATTAGGAAGAAGTTTTTCACAGAAAGAGTGATAAATTACTGGAATGGTCTGCCCAGGGAGGTGGTGGAGTCATCATCCCTGGATGTGTTTAAAAGAAGATTGGATGTGACACTCACTGCCATGGTTTTGTTGAGGTGTCAGAGAACAGCTTGGACTCAACGATCTTGAAGGTCTTTTCCAACCTTCTGTGTTTCTGTGAAGCTTGATCTGACATATAATCATACTTTAGAAGATGTCAGAACATTTCCTAGACCAACCAGAGCAGGTAGATAAAATCTGTAGGTAAATATCTGCAGGTAGATAAAATGCCTGGAGTAGATAAAAGGGCTCTTTCACTTTTTTTTTAAATTAATACTTAATTTTTTTTCTTCAGAGATTTTTTATTTATATATTTGCATATATAAAAAAATATAAAGACAGAAGAGAAGATGATGGAGAGAGATTATAAAGTTGGGCTGAGTAGAGATAGTTAGAATAGAGAAGACTTATTACAGATGCCTCACACCACTCTTCCAAGGGATACCATAGCACTGGAGCTGTCTGAAAACAAAATGTACGGTCAAGATCCATCTTCTTTTGGACCTGAATATGAATATGTCAGAATTAGTACATGATTCTTTCAAGCCCTTTTGTGAGGTGACAATAGTCATAGATACAGCAAATTTCCTGAGTTTTATTGTAAAGGAGTTCTTGGTAATAACAGTTTTTACTCTCAGAAGCTTCATGGTGTGTAGTTTCCTTTTATGATGTGCCCGGTAAAGAAGATCGATTGTCTTGGGCATACACCACATGTGACACTAAAGAGACATGCACAGGGATGCACAAAGAAAAAGGCTCTAGCTTTTGTCAGCCGGGTGTCTGGTGTGGGTCTGCAGCAGCACACAAACTCCAGTTTTTCAGCACAATGAGAATAAACAGACTTACATCAAGTAAGACTTTGAAAAACAAATGTGAATGTGAGAAAAAGAAAAGTAGCTTGTTTTGAATAATGTATCTTTCTCTCTACTGCAGGAAAAAATGGAAATGACAGGAACATTCAAACAACAAAAATTTCAACTTGTGGATGAAGGTTTTAATCCATCTACAATTACTGATCCCCTTTATTTTTTAGACAATTCTAAGAAAGCATATGTCTTGTTAACCAAAGAATTATATGAGATGATCTTATCTGGGAAAATGAAGCTTTAATTAATTGACCATTTAATAGGCTATTAAGGGACAGTCTGTACAAGCTATTGTATGAGAAAACAATGTAATTAATTACCAGTACTTTTACATAGTTATCCAGAATAACGCTTTTTATATTTGATATTTACATTCAGATATGTCTTTACTTACTTGATCATTATTTTTTACTAATCACTTTTTACCTCTTGAAACAAATTTCTAAGCAAATAACCTGTAAAACCTAACTGAAATCTATTTTATATTACTTTGGAATATAAATGCTGAATCTGATATTTTTTCTTAGTACTAAATGAACATAAATGATACATGGTAGAAAAGGAATCAACATATATTGTGTCACATGTTGTGTGTAAAGGGAAAATATATGCCACTAACATATTTTTTTTCTGTAGTTTACATACTTCTGAATATGTATTGTAAGAAGTAAAAGCTTGACACTGGTTGGAGGAAAAAATATTTTCTGCAGAGGACTTTTCTGATAAAGCTGAAGCAGAACAAAGTCCTCCAAACAAACCCAAATACTAACATCACTGTTGAATTTTTTTTTCTGTCATAATCCGTGCTCTTTCATTTGTTAAACTGGCTGTTTGGAGTGTCAAATTCTGAAGACAGAGCAAACTGATGTGAAATGTGTAGCAGCAGATCAACAATAGGCAGAGAAAATCTGCACACTTAATGGGGAAAATAATTTATATAGCATAAAAATAATTATTGCAGCACTTTATTTCATGCATATTGAGTACCAAATAGCTTCCATACTCTTAGTAATGACTGCTAGAGATCATTATTTTATGAGTATAGAATATAGCTGAATTTTTAAAACACTAGATTTTATGTTCTAATAATTGGTTTTTATAAGTTTTAAAATAAAGTATAAGATTATTTAAACCAAATACCATTCTGTCTCAGTTTGATTTAAGTCTGATTGCACAAAGTCTATTTTCCAGCTTCTTTTGATACTTTATTTGCACAATGCCTTCTTCTAACGCAGCGTGATGCCCACTTTGATCAGCCAGAAGCAGTATCAGAGAATACTGCAAGGGTGACTCTCTCCAACACTGGCCATTATAAGTCTCTCTTCCATCATAACAGTCCTATGAAACTAGGTTCTCATGAAAGAGTAGGATGTAACACACTTTAAAAATAATCTTCTTGTGTCTTTCTACCTTTTCCATCTAACAAGACATTAGAATCGGTGTCAATTTTTGAACTTTGATTATTACTTTAATTGATTTTCTTTAAAACCGAAACCAAGGATGCAGTGAAAAATATATAAGGATCATAATTTACTTATTTTTTGAACACAATATTCCTTATGGAGCTGTATAAATAAACTTCCAGTATAAATAAGGAAGTTTACAATTTTGCAATTTATGAACCAGTGATGGCTAACAAATACTTACACCAACATCATGCCTTATGGTAGATGTTAATGTAAAGTACACACTGGGGAATGAAGAGAACTTCCCTAAAGATGGAAGGGGGTCACTGTGATCTAGCATTTCCTGAGCACTCCCATTTTTTCTGTTTCTTGAAGCAGTGCCCAAATGGTTGTCTGTAGCTGAAAGCTGGGGCAGGGGATGTTTGACACTTACTGACACAGATGGAAGTGCCATTACCTAGTCAAGAACTGCAAATTTAAGAATGAGGTATTTTATTATGAAGTTAAACTCAACTTTGCATGTTAGGCTGAAATTTTGAGCAAAGGAGTGGTTGTTGAAATCAAAACTACTTTAACTCTTACACTGAATTACTCCTGTATATACTTCAGGACCCCTTTTATTACAACAATTTCTCCTTTCTATGGAAAATAATTATTTTCTGATTTTTTTTTAATATGGCACCCTGACATCCACAGTATCATGTTTAATCTTGCAGAAGAATACTAAAGAATTTAGTGAGATCAATTGCTTAGCTTTGGTAACATATTTAGCACTTCTAAAATTTATTTAGCTTTATAATATATGATCCTATATATGACTAATGAAAAGGTTCAACCACTTAAATGCAAGAAATGCAAGAAATAAGAGGGGAAAAAAGAAATGAAAAACGAAGAAAACAATTTTCCATTAAAAATATAAAAGGAGAAACAAAACCCAAAGGTTTGTTCATGAGTGTCAGCATTTGGTTGCTTCTTTTGTAGTGTATCTAAGATGAAGCGGATTGTTTCTGTGAACAGTGGTTGGGCCAGAGAAAACACCAGAGGATAAACAGTGCCTGTGTGCCACCTTTCATGCTCTGTTCACTACAGGATCAGCCAACTGCTGTTTCCAAACTCTTGGGTACATTTTCAGCAGCAGTGGGACTCTTCTAACACAGCTGCCTTGGGAGCCTAAAGTGTTTGTTTCCCAGCTGTGAGCACTAGTGAAATACAGATTTCTGTATTTTCCATAGTGTAACTAAGATAGCCTGGGCAATCTGCCTGTTTTCAAAGGTGAGTAAAGTACCGTTCCATGCACTACCCCAAGAAATAGGATAACCATGACATCAAGAAAATAATACATAGGCCCTGTATTTCCTAAGGGGAAAACAGTCTATTACTCTCAGTCCAGTAGTTTTCCTTCTTTTAGCCAGTAAGTTGGGTGCCAGCAGATGCACTGAAGCAAAATGTCACATTCCTCATGAATACCTAAGTTCATGAATACCTAAGTTCTTGAACCAGCATGCAGTTAGGCTGAATAATGATGATGCTCATGTCAGACACCACAAAGGGTCTTCCTTTCAGAATGAGAAAATATAGTGACTAACCTGTTAATTTCCTACCTTTACACAAATCAACATTTGGACTGGCTGAGGTAGGAGTGTTGCTGCAAAACGATGTCTCAGAATTTGTCTGGGAAAATTAATTTCATGTGGTAGGTGTTAAAGGAGCAGATGAGGGGTGGCTGGGGTATAGAAGGGGAGTTGCACTACTAACCTCATATATTAAAAATAGATTAGGGGATTTCCAAGTGGGTGTTTCAATAAAGGATTGGCCCAGGTGGTGAGTGGCAGGGAACATCCAAGAAAAAGGGGCAGGGTTGCCTTGATAGGCAGGGAGAGGACTAGAACAAAGGGAGCAGAATAGCCTGAGGGACAGCTTTGAGGGAGTTGTCAGCTTTTTCCTGACAACTTAGGAAAGAAACAACTTGGGGAAAATGCGGGGTGATAACAGAATGAACCACTTAACAATAAGTTAATGAAATAAACACGAACTGCCACGCATAATTTGGCAATTAATTGCAAATAATTGCAAATAAACACAAACTGCCAGACATAATGTGGCCATAAAGGTTACATCAGAAGATTATCTGATTGTGTCCTGATACTCAGGAATTAATACCTTACACATTATACCCTTTGACGAAGAGATTATATGATTGCTGCCGTGATAATTTTAAATAAACTGGGTCATTAGCAGAGTGAAATGCAATTCCTATGCCACTAAAAAGTCCACAAGTCTGAGAATCTTTTACCAAAGTAGACTTCAATGAGTTTCTCCAAAGACTGCAATAAGCACAGCCCCAATCAAATGGTGAGGAATTGCCTTTGCAATACAACAAAGCAGTCCTTGTTGTTGCCTTGCAGTAGGAGCTACACTGACCTATTCCCATTTGGAGCCAGTCTGGCACCATGAGGTTTCCATACTTCCTGTTATTCCACAGTCTTGCATGAGAAGTGGGAGGTTTTGCGTTATGTCACCTGGACCACACACACATATTTTTAAATAAAAAGGGGACTTAGACTGGCAGAAACCCACTTGTTATTGTGTCTCTTTTTATTCACGTAACTGATACTGCTATGCTGATGAAAATATTTCTTACAAGTATATATGGACAGTGTTACCCTTATAGGACAGTCCAAGTCTGGTAAGATGCTTTTTGTGGGGTTCTGCACTGAGAACTCAACTAAGTATCTCCATTCATTTAAAAACCAACAAATCAACCAACAAATCAACCAACCAACCAAATGAAACCCCAACCCCCCAAATCCACATTATAGCAAACAGAGTAAAGAGTACTTAATTATTTGAAATATATCTTGCAAGAAGGGACTGAATGCCTTGATGGGAATTCTAATATGAAGAGTCCTGCTCATTCAGTGCAAACTGCTAAGTGCAGATAAACAGAAATGTCAGTCTCTTATGGTGATTATGCTATGGAAGGGCATATATTTGGTTTTAAAATACTTCGTAAACTTGTGGATTTGATCCAAACCCACACAACTTATTTCAGTATATAGTTATTTGCCTGAATTCATTATTAATCTCTTTTTGCCAGGCTTTCATGCATCATTGTTAACTATATGTGGACAAAATATGTAGTAACAGGTCCCTATGGGATGGTAGATGACAGAAAAACTAACTGATGATTTTGAGAGTAATGACAACAAGAGTGTTATCTGTGATTCAAGAAAAAACGTGTTATACTGATTACCACAATTTCCATTCATTTTTTCTATTTATTCTGCCTTTCTTGATTATTTTTTTCTCTTTGCTAATTACAAAACAGACTTGCATTCCTAATTTTTTTAAATTGGTAATAGTAAGTGAGGAAGTCACTGATGCTGAAACTAGTCATGTCACATTAGAATTCTGCTGAATCAACAACACATACTTTAGTAATCTCAGCACAGTGTTATACTGTGTATGTGAAATGATACTCAGGGGGATTTAAAACAACATTTGACTTATTATGTTTTCGGTGTCTTTGAAAGTGTAGAAATTAAATGTGCAGGCTTTACTTAGGCAGCAACCCTTGAAAATCTGGGAAATGACTTGATTTTTTTCTCCAAACACAGGATATAATCACAGTAATTTTAAAATCTAGCTAACTATGAGATACTAAAACACTTGCCTAGCTATCCAAAAATTTCCAAACTTTTTTTTTCCAAAGTAATTTCTACTAGGCAGCTTACAGTACTTTTCCAAATACATGTGTCTTCTACTAAATGCTATTAGTTTTCTCCACTGGGTGGGCTGCACTTTAATAGTAATACACTTGATCAATAGTACTCCTTTTATTTACCTTTTTTTTTTCTTTTTTGCCAAGCATGTTTTTTTCATTGCTTTTGCAGTTT